ATAGCATAAGTACATCAATATGTATCAGAAATATAATAAAAATTAGGAGACTACTTACGATCATCCTTAGGTATTAAAGACAGGACTGACTGCAACCAGTAATCCCTCGACTAGTAAATATACATTTGATTACCAAACAAACATACGAAGGCTCACCAACCTGTAGAAACTTGAGTCTCAATTGAGATTCGTTGAAAACGTCCATCCTCCTCAGCAAACCGACCAACCTGAGACAAGACGGTAGCTGTATGCTTCCTTGCAATTGCTGGATCAACTCCATCAACATCAGATTAGAGCAGCGCTCTATATCAGACGCAATATTCTAAAAATAATAACAAAATTATGCAATGATCGCGATACTATAAATAGAGACGTGTACTTTAATGATAGGTATGTTGTTGTGTTTCTTTTCCATTCTTTTCACGTGTGCACTCAGTTCCAGTGCTTCCTCATAATAGCCATTACGTACACATGTCTCTATTAATTGTGGTATCTCTAGTATCTCCAATAACTGGGTGTGTCTTGATAGAGCTAGGGAATTGAGTTTACGTCTAAAAAAATATTTAAAAAATTAATATTAATAATTTTTATTTAAATGCAATAACAATGGCCGACTTGCTGCTTATATCTTGAGCGTCTTTGCCAAACTGCTTACAAGAGGAGGAGAAATTCAGTAATTTATCAATTAATTTATCGCAGTGGCTACTGCACCGGCACCGGTAGCAGTGTTATAGTACCGGAACAGTATATAAAGGGTTAAATATCCAATGTTACCATAGCAATGTATAAACTAGAAACAATGTAAAACATTCAAGGGCTCAGCCTCGTAGATTATTAGCTGGGAAAAAGCAGAATCTCAACTTTATGTTGCTGCTAGAAAACTCTTGACTTGTTTTTTTACTTTAAGCCTTGCTACACTGACTTTAAAATAGCCATAAGATATAAGAATGCTGGCAAGTTTAGTGCAGTCAGTGACAGAGGTGACATTTGTTTGATTTTCACAGTTTATCTCAACGAAAAGGAGTTTCATAGCATAGATATTAGAGACTCTATGTTCATAGTTACTTGTATAAATTATTAATTCCATGTGGTTCATCATGGCAGCAGCTACCGACTTTAAGCTTGGGGAGAAGTTCAGTTCTTTTGATGATTTTGAGTCCAAATTAGAGCAAAACAAGCCGAGTGAAAAGTTTGTAGAAATGTGGACGAGAGACTGTAGGACCATTGCTGCTGCCAGAAAGAGGGGAATTGACAGGCCAATCATAAGGCAGAGTTGACCATTATTACTACTGACTCATACTGCTGTGTACATGGTGGGAAGAAATTTACACCTAGAGGTACTGGGAAAAGAGTAACATCATAAGGAAACTTTACTTGTAGTTATTAATTGTTATTAATTTTCAGTATTTAAGGACATTCAGAAAGACTGCCAGTACCACATATCATTGAAAGTGGCCCAGTTTGGTTCATCCCTTGAAGTTACAAGCATCTGTACTGAACATAATCATGATGTGTCAAAGGTAAAAGTCTAATTATTATTCTCATATGTTATTTGTTACTCTTATTGTAGACACTTTTTCAACACTTTCCACGTCAAAGGCGTCTATCACCTGTCTCTGTTAAGAAACAGCCAAAGGCAAAGGCTTGGTTTTGTAGAAAGTGTCATTTGTCAGCTGCAAAAGCATGTAACAATTCATAATTAATGTTATTATTGACAAAATGAAACAAAGAAGTGAAAAAAAATAAAAATTGTTATTTATATATCTATGGTTTGATGGAGAATGAAGTTAATTGGCCTCGCCTACGCGAGGTATAGGTAGTTGTTGTGTGTGTCTGTCATTCATTCATTCTGTACAAGCGAAATTTGTCTTTAATAAACTATAACTTTAGCATAGCGTGTTCTAAGCTCCTAGATATTTCTTCTTTACCTTGAAAAGTCTTACTTAACTGTTTTGTGTTGCTCAAATATCAGCGCTAGGTACAAGAAGCTTCAAAGTGAGAAAATCAAGTATTTGAGTCAAGTTCCGTTGTGTTGGCACTCTAGAGATAGGTGGTAGCATTTTCCAGTCGATTAGAACATGGCCTTCAAAAGATATGAACAGATTTCTCTAAATCTTACTTGGTGAAGAGTTACAGTTGTCCTGGTTCTTGTTTGTGAAGCGCTGGAGCGACAACCTAGTGGGCTATAGGTACTAAAGTACCTATACTATCTCAAATACATGAAGGTAACAACTTTCTGTCAGCAAGTTTATCGTATATTGATGATTAGTAAAGAAAAAGTTAAGCTTCTTTCTCACATGGTCTTCTTGCTGCCATCATTGCAGTTGATGATGTAATGCCACACCTTCAATCTACATGCTGGAGCTGCTTGCATGTATGTGCTGCAGTGCTGCTACTTCTGCAGGTATTCAAGAGCAAGTGCATGCAACTGCAGGAAGCTAGTGTTGAGCAGACTCTCTTCATGCTGATAATCAAACAGCTATTGCAGTGAGGGCATGCACCATAGCAGCTACAGGGCGAGGCCATGCACCGTAGCCGCCATTGCCATTGCAAAGTTATGAGAACGAGTTGAGGCTTTCTTCAGGATGCATGCTTTTTTACGAGGCCTATAAATTAAAAAAAGGATAAAAATTGCTGGGTCACTGACTCACTATAATGGATGTACAAGTACATGTAAAGTATTAGGATAATAAAAATACAAGTGCATACATGTACATGTATGTAGCTATTACATATTAAAATCCACAGTCTAAAGGCCTTTCTACACTTGCAGTGGTTTCAATGCGCATTCAAACCACATATGGAGGTGGTTTGAGATATTGCATATTACGCATTGAAACTCAGTGAAGTTCACTGAAGTTTCAAACCAGTTCAATGCGCAATAGAAGTGCTAGCGTAGAAAGGCCTTAAAGCTACTGTACATGCATTATTACAACACAAGTACATGTACATGTACAGTAGTAGCTCAGTGGAGCCCAGCGGAGTAGTGTATACGAAGCCTTAAAATCCACAGTCTGAACTTATAAGCTACATGTATTATTACAACACAAATAAGTATATCAGCTTTGTAAAATTTTGTAGCACCTTACATTTCTAATTTAAATTAACTGACATTTTTTAGTTATATAAGACCTGCTAAAATTGGAGATACAGTAATCATTGACGCAGAATGTCTTAAGTTGGAAAGACTTTTGCATTTGCCAGTGTTAGCTTGTTGAACAAGGACACTGGGAAACTAATAGCTCAGGGAAGACACACCAAGTACATTGCTTGACTCAGTTTA